ACTGCACAAATATTTAATCTTTTGGTCTTCTGTTAGTGTCTTCTTTAAAAGTACTCTTTAGAAGTACAGTGTGGCCTTGGTCAGCAACTCTAAGAGTCATGTTTTGGCAGAAATTTGAAATCAAACTGAAGGTAAAAACTGAAGACTGGAAAATACAATACAAATATAATTGAGATGAGAAAACAAAATAAAATATAAATTTTAGTTCAGGTTTCCACTTTCAAGGCTGTGTAGCCTTTCCAACGAATAAAATGAAAGGTCTTTTAGCTTCTGGGTCATCTGAAGGAGCCACTTGTACTTTGTTGCTGAATAACATGTCCTGCTTGTCATCACACAATGTTCTTTCCTGTTTGCTTCAGATATTTTATATTTACCTTTCCTTTTTAACAAATCATAGAAACTGCAGCCCTTATATTTGAAAGAAAATTGTCCATCTGAAATAAAATTGGGAGGCAGTGCATATTTCCAGTGCATGGACTGAGCCTGGAGAAGCCAGTTAGCAATGCCACCCACTGCTTGAAATCAGGTGGTTTCTAGGAATTTCCAAATAAGGTGCCAAAAATGGATCATTGTACAGTGGAAAGCGGAGTTTGTTCTTTACTCTTGTGATGAATTGTTAAAAATGTGTAAGCTGAAAATCCCTTTGCTTGCTTAAATTAAGGAAAGAGATGTACATTGCTAAGAAAAGTCTGAGTTGCTGAAATGTATTCTTTCTGTTGCTGGGAAACATTTTCTCCCACATGGAATATGTCAGTCACACAGGAAATGCAGTCATTTTCATGGTTTTAATTATTTCCACTGACAAAGTGTTTTGTTTTCTCCTGAAAATCTTATTGTTGCAAAAATAAACAACTAAATGTCATTAATGCCGTGCTTTGCCTTCTTGCTGGTTTTTGACCGCAGCTGGCAATCTGAAAGAAGTTTTACATGCATTCATTAAAACCAAATGTCTGGGTAAAGCTTTCCAAAGTCCATCAAAATTTTCAAATCATTGCAGGCAAGCAGGAAATGAAACCAGCCTCCAAAGCACAGGTCAACTTGTGTTCACCCAGGAGTCCTGAAGAAATGAGCAGTGGACACCCGCAATGAGATAAATGCTTCAGGTCACCTGTTCCCCAGAACCTCTGTCACCTGAGTCCATTAACAGGTAGCAAAGGCAGTCTTCAGTAGACACTGTGCATCTGAAGGTGTCTTAAATTTATTTTGAGACTACCATTCTCCTTCAGAGCTGGAGATACTGAAAGCTCAGTGGAGTGACAGATCTGTTAGAACCCAGGACAATACAGGAGAGGCTCTCTGGAAAAAACGGAAGCTTTCTGCCCCAGAATCCTTTCCTCTGCACACACCAAAATCCCATCTTTTGAAATACAAGTAGGGGAAATGCTATGCTGGCAGCACTTTGGCAGAGAGGGGACAGTTTCCTTTCTCCACTGTATGTCTGGGAGGTGCAGGTAGGCACTTTGCTGGCAGAGAGAGGCCAGGGAGAAAACAGCTTATTTGCTTGCCACTTAAATGACATTTTCTCCTGATTGCCCAGAGAAGGGAGTAGATGCCCTTTAGGCACCAGGTCTCTGGCCCCTCACACCATGTGGTGTAGCTCCTGGAGGCAGGCTGTGCCTGTGTGGGCAGTAGCTGCCTGGTTATCCAACATGGATCAGTTGGGTGAGCACCCATGGGAGCCCCAGGGAACCTCATCAGGGAAGAAACCCTCAGCTGGGCTGTGGCCTCAGAGAGGATCCCCAACACACATCCTCCAAAATCACTTGGTGGGGATGGCAGCCTGCTGCAATTCAGGGGCTGGCATATGCTTTTCTGGCATTTGAGTTTTTATTTGCTTTTTTTTTTTTTTAAAAGCCCAAGATTCATACCACCTCTGGCAAAGCTGATTTTTGCAAAGCAAACCTTCTCTTGTAATTTTCTGTTTAGTTTACCAGCATGATTTGTATGAAGGAGTTCCCTGAGCAGCTTAGAACTGCAGCCTGCAGAGCCTGCTGCTGCCTCCCTCCATGTCCCTGGTAAAGGCAGACAGCCTCACGAGAAGGCAGCTGCCACCTGTCACCAAGGTCCCTGTCATGCCAACACAGCTGTTTGCTGACTTACTTCTGTGCAACAAGAGACTTTAGCATCAGCACTTGGGCCTCTCTGAAGACTACAGAAGTCCTGGTGCACTCATTTGCCTCCTACGTGGCAGGGGCTGCCAGCCTGTGAGTGACTCCACTCAGCAGACACCCTCCTCCCTCCCTTCTCATTCAGATTCAGCCTCTGTGCTGCTCGGTTTGGCTTAAACCTCTCTGCTGCAGACTAATCACTGAAGCGTTAGTTTAAATTCACACTGATGAAATAGGTGCTGGCAAAGCACAAGGGACTGTCAGTGGTACAGCATGTGCTGTGCTGGGCACTGACAGTGTCCTGAAGGGCACTGCACTGCCTCTGGAAAGAATGTCTGGGATTGGGTTCACAGTAAACAGGGTGTACACAATGCTTTAGCCGTCCAATACAGCTTCTAACTTCAGCAGGTCTTGTCAAACAAGAGAGAACAAAACATAGTTTTGTAGTTAGCTCTGATAAAGTTTAGCTCTTAGAAAGGGCTTTCCTACACGGACATAGTGCATGAGGAAGATTTTTGGGTATGTAGAGTCAATAGGCAGAAAGCTGCTGACTTGGCTGAAGGTTAATTTCACACCACAAAAAGTAATCAGAAACTCCAGAGCAGCATTAGAGTGGCTGCTTAGTTGCAGCTACTCTTATGAGAGCAAGGAAACTTTCAAGTCTTTTCCTGACTCCTCTGAGAAAGTGAATGACCCTTTTTCCTTCTCCAACCTCATCTCACTGATTTTTGGGAAAGCTGGTGATGAGTTTTGGCACTGCCTTCAATATCTCCCCCTTCAGACTGGGAACTTTGAACATACATGCTTTACCTTCTGCAAATCTTATCCTTTCATTTGGTAGTTACCAATATGCACTGCACCTCTCAAAGGAAACTCTCCCCTTCCTGGTCTGTGACTTTCCTGAACTGCACCTTGGCTTTCTGCAGTGAGTATTTGCTCCTTCCTGATAGCTGCTCTGAAATTTCAGTTGTATCAGTGAATATGACCTCACACTGCCTACCACATACACACTCCTCGTTTCTTACTCCAAGCTCCTTGACCATGTCCTCTCCTCTACCTGAGCCCACCCAAAGGGGCAAAGCAGCTACAGCAGCGAGAAAAGAAAGTCAGGCCTTCAGTACCCTTTTAAAAAAAAGTCTCAGTTCACTGCAAGACATCTGACTTTGAAATGGCTTTCTGTGTGATTTAGAAATTTTTTTCTGACTAACATGTTTAGACATATATATCCATGTTTACCTCTGTGGTGTTTGGATCCCTTGCCAATTCTAGAAGCTAATACACTTGTGCCAGCTCTCAGTCTCTTGGACACATGCCATGGAAATCAGAGGCAACATATTAAAGTGCCTAATTCTTGGAGTCTTATGATTATCACATTCACACAACCCACCCTCTTAGCTGTAAAAACTTAAAAGCCTGAGTTAGTTAAGCTTTATTCACAGAAACTCAAGAGTTAGAACATGAATGAAATAACTTAGCATTTTTTATTTCTAAAAGCCATGTTTTCTAAGCCAGTATTTTGACTATGTTATGAAAGGTTTAACATTTATGCGCTTAACATTTTATCTTCAGCTCGAACATGCATGACATTAAAATTGAGGAGAATAATCAGTTTCATGGATAGAAGACATTTAATCCTTCAGGTTTATGACTGCAGGATAGTTGGAACAATTCAGTCCTTGCACCATTGATATGGATGGGGTAGTAGTGGGCAGGTACCCTAGGGACAGTGCTCAGATATGCAACAACTCATCCCTGGTCCCAGTTCTGGCTGGGAATCATTGGTCACTGCTCAGGAATGGGCTAAGCATCAGTCACTGGGAGGTGAGCAGTGGTATTGGGCATCACTTGGGCTTTTTAGGTGTTATCTCTTCCTCTCTCATTTGATGATGATTATTATTTACTTTGTTTCAATTATTAAACTGCTGCTATCGCAACGCACCAGTTTTACTTTTTTCCCTTATTCTTGTCCTCTTCACACTGGGACAAGCTGGAGGAGTAAATGGGAGGCTGTATGGTACTTATCTCCTGTCTGGGGTAAATCACAACACCCCTAAAAGGCAGGTTTTCAATCTGGCACTTAAAAGGGAGGGCCTGAGCAAGTCTACAACTGCTTCATTCACCTGAAATCCTCCCTGCCAAGGGAAACACCTGTGCCAGTGGCAAGCTAGAGCAGTAAGGGCTGGGCAACACAGCTGCAGTTGAATTCCCCTTAACTATTTGCCTATCTCTTTTTGCAGGTGTTGGGAAGTCAGGGCAGGAGCAGAGCGACTTATCTCATTAAAGTCTCCATCTCTTTATTGGATCCTGGCTCCTCAGAGATAATGAGAGTCATGGAGTAAGTGGGATTTGGAGGGAACATTTTGGAGAAAAAGCAGAAGTGCTACTGCTCTGCATGGTAACTGCAGCTGGCCAGATGCTTGCAGTCAACAGATAGGTTTGCACCTACTGCATGGAGTCTGCAGTTTCCTGGAGCTGCACAGGCTGCTCTCAGATTTGGCACGTCTGCTTTCAGAGACTTCCCACATCATTCCATCCCTCCAGCTTCATTTCCAAGTGACTGCCAGATCGAATTGAGGTTTGATCTCTCTAAGCTGCTGTGAGTTTAGATAGGAGGGATTTCTGGGCAGGCCAGGGGCCACTTGGTTCCCTGTAGATGGGGCTCCTGCCTGGGCTGTGCCACTCTGGGAAAGAAGAAGCTAGGGAGCAACTCAAAACTATCTCAGCAACAGCTTGTGTTGTGCCTCCCTGATTAATTGAGCAGGGAAAGGAATCAAACAGCTTCTTCTTGAAGACAATACAGGTTTGTTTCAACGAGTCATATCACAGATAATCACAGACATTCTGAGTTGAAAGGAAAACCACAAGGATCATCAAGTCCAACTCTAAAGTAAATGGCTGGTATGGAAATCAAACCCACCACTTTGGTGTTATTAACACCATACTCTGACCACCTGAGCCAATCAGGATCCTATAAATTTGTTCTTCATGTCTGAGTACTGCACAGGTTGATTTCATGCACGAGGGCACCTGGAAACACTATTACAAAAGGCAGCTATGTGCAAGCTGGTAAATCCCAGAAGCAGAGGGTATTCATGCTTCTGCTACTCTGCACTTTTGTGCACATGCACAAAAATCTGTACTGCATACAGGTTTTTTCACATACCCTCACTTTGTTCAGTACACAAAGAAGACAATCATTAGCTAATAATATTGTGGAGGTCTGTGGTACATCAGAACTCAATCTGCAAAACCACAGCCATTGCTGCTTCCTTTATAACCTACAGTGATAGTGAGCATTATGATGTTTGTTTTTTTCCAGCCTGTGGTATTACCCTTGGAAATGGAGATAATCCATCATGGAAATATAGTTAACAGTTTCCCCATAAAATGCTAGATGGTACAGTAATATATAAAAATTTCATAAGACTGAATTAATCCACCTTTACAACATGACAAAAAGATGAATGGATAGCATTAACTCTGCATTGGAGTTGAGGAACCAAGATGTGTCGTTTTAAAGCCCCAAACATCCTTTATATTTGGACACCCAGTTTGGGAAACCTAGGCTCTGTCCTTGTGATTTAATATTAACCAAGTCTTAAAACATATAAAGGCAGTTACCATTGACTTTGTTCACGCTTGGGAGTCTGGAACACAGATGAAAATAAAGCTTAAGCGTTTCAGATCATGCCAAGGGGAAAAATAAGTCTGACAGCGTCCCCTGTAGGCCATCTAGTCCATCTTCCTGCCCTAACAAGTCAGCTATCTCAGTCTTCGCTGGTTATTTTTATTGCTAAATTTTTCCTGTCTAACCTCCTCTTTAAAAATGCCTAAACACAGAGATTTCACTGCCTTCTGAGGCAGGTCTCTTCCAGTGTCTAACTATGCTTGTGTTAGGCTCGTGTTTAACCCTCTGTACAAGTGCTAGTCCATCTTTCCTTGCTTTGTCCCCAGGGGACATGAAGAATTGCATATTTCTCTGCTCTTTGAAGACGTTGGATATCTGCTGCTGACTCTGACAAGATTCCTCACTGAATCACACCCTCTTTGGGGAATGTTGTCCAGAACGAGACACGAAACACCAGTGGATGCCTCAGGGCTGCTGAGTAAAGCAGAAAAATTTCTTCATGACTCTTACATGTTATTTTTTCTGCTTCTATATAGCAGATGTGATCCTCACATTTCTGCCCAACAGTGTCAACATTATTGCTCATTAATAACATGGGGTATGCTACAATCTCAATTCCATTTCTAAAGAACTATTAGCCAGCCTGCCACATCCCGTTTCATAATTCTGTAGTAAATTACTCTTACTTAAACATATAATTTTGTGGTCTGACTTATTATCCACACTTCTTTGACTCTCTATACTAGTTTGTCAGTCCTCTGTCCTCCTGTGTGCCTGCAGCTCCCTTCCCAGCTGGGTGTTGTTTGTGGTCTCCCACACGAAGTTAATACACACACCTGCTAATGACATGACTGGTGGAAGAGGAAGCAAGAGAAAAGAAGTAAACCCAGGGGAGACCACTGTGGAAGCAACAACAGATTTTTCTCCAACTTGACAATTATTTTTTAATAATTCTTAATATTTATTAAGAACTAATAACAAATAATTGTAGTGTCTCTAGTGCAATTATTTTCACACATTTAAGAAACAAGGCATCTACCAATGAACAAACTGACTTGGAAAGTCTGGTGTAAGCAACTTCCCTAGAACCAGGCAGCAGACAGGCAGAGGCTGGAGCTCTACTTTCATCTACCTCCACCACGGGGCAATTTCCTTCCTGCTGTTCAGTTCAAAACTCCCTGGGGTTGCTAGATGGGGGCAATTCTCTCTTCCTGAGGAGAGTGAAGGTGCAGCTTCTTGGGCATCAGGAGCTGGGAAGCAAGGACATGACACACTCCCTGAAGACAGCATCTTCAGAGACCTCAACTTTTAAGCTCTAGCAAGTCTTGGCACAAAGACTAACTGTCAAGCTCTTTGGGTGTCCACTGAAGGTCAGCTTTTGAGAAATCAATTGCCTTTTATATTTTTCACCCTCTGGTGACAGGAAGAACGATGAGAGAGCTGACATGGAATTCATAAGAGGTTTGGAGGGAATTATCCATTACAGGTTCTCTGCCTTTTGTCAGAATTCACAGCTAAATGCATTATACCAATGTCATGTGCCTTCTTTATCAGAATCGTATCATAATCTTTGCATTACATAAATCCATCAGAACTGTGAGCTCACAAGGAGATTTTGTATGGTTGCTTTCAGCTTCTTGAAGACAGACAAGCAAAATAAGCTTCTGTTTTATGGGTGTCAGTTTAATACAGTTTGGAGGGGAGAAAATACACTGCTTTTAATGGGGATTTTTTTAAACTATCTGGAAAAAAAAAAAAAAAAAGTCTATTTTTACTCCACTAGAGGTCACCAGCACCGTATTTTTCAAAGAACACTACAGGAAAGTACAAGCTAATTTCACTTCAAGAACTTTGCTTGGGACTTAACAGTGTGATGCATTTGAGCAGCTAATCATTCCAGAACAGCTGTACCAAACTACTTTTGAGAACCATCTCACACAAATTTCTGCTTTGGTAGCTGATAATTTTTCTGGGGGGAAAAAACAAACTAAACCAAACCAAAACACACAAAAAAAACCCCCAAACCCCACCACCCCCCAATCAACCAATAAAACCCCAGCACTTTAATTTTGTACTAGTTTGTTCACACCATAAAGGATAGCTTAGAAAAGTTAGATCATACCAAAATAAGTGCACTGAGCAGTTATTTTGAAGTGCTGAGGCCACAAATAAAAAGGGGAGTATTCACTAACAGCAGAGTAAATTAAAATAGGGATTTGAAATTAGATTCTGTGCTCCTCCTTTCCTGTAGCCAGCTCAGTAGATGAGGACCAGAGAGGTTGTTTTATGTCAAGATACATTAACCTAGACTTGAGACTAGCCCTATGGTTACTCCAAAGTCTGTATAACTTCGCAGTTGGCTGGCTGATACCCCTACCTGTGGCACTTCTGCTGTCTCCTCACTGCAGCCATATGGAGACCTAGTCTGGGGTCACAGCAACAATTTAACTCATGAGGGGCACACTCAAGTCAAGCACTGCTTTTGCTGCAGTGCTGTGCTCTCAGATACCTTGCCTCTTTCTGGAGGCTTGGAGCTGAGCTCAGCAAGTGGTTGTCACATCTCCATTGAGAGTGGAATCACAGCTGGCTAATATCAAATTTGTTGTGATAAGTTATACAGCACCCTCATCAGAGGGTGCTAAGGGTGGCAGCAATCGTTAAGTTGGTTCCCTGTCCCTTACATATCTGGAGATAGGAGAATCCCAAAGGGAGCACCAGAACTGCCCTTGGGCTGCAGCAATCTGAGGCTTCTCACAGCTCCCTCTTGCTTCCCTGCAGCAATTTTGCATCCACTTTTCTTTCCCCTGAGCTGCACTGTGCAGTTTTCTCTCTCCATGTCATTGCAGCAGTGTCAAGTTGAAGCCCTACTAACCTGTTATCCTAAGGCCTTAGCGTGGCCTTGCCTTGACACCTCATCCTTTAAAAAGGATCAGGTCCTGCAGCAGAATCGCAGCCTATCTATATTGGTCCAGGTTGTATTTTTCCATGGGTAATGCAATCACAGGCCTCAGTGTGCTTTTCCAGAGGGGAGTAGGGCCATCACACATCCTGCTGCTCCAGGAGATAAGGGTGCACAATAGCCCAGTTCATGGTGCACAGCCCATAGCACACCAAAAGGAACTTCACCTTTGCTGACAGACCAGGTCAGGGGCCAGGCAACAGGAAACTAAAAGAGTCTCTTCCCAGAAAGTTGTGCCTTGCTCATGAATCAACAGATATCAACGGCAAATACAGCTGCCAAACATTGTGCAGCTCCATGAGCTATGGCTTACACACAAACCATTTAATGAGTTCATATGTACCTTTGCAGAAATCTTTCCCTTCTATGTTCTGCCCCTAATGTTTTTCAAAGCCTTACCCCAGTTATCTCCTTGTTCTCTTGTCCATTTTTGGGTCTTTTTGGTTAGGAATGTCCACATTCCTAACCTCACCCCTCCATGGACATCACCTTGCCTGTGCTCCACCAAAGGAGGTCAGGAGACAAGGGACCATCCTCCTGCATGAAACTCAGAGCCCCCACACTCCCCATCAGCAACAGAGCAGTTCAACTTCTGCTTGTGAGAGAGCAGCAGGTGTCAGGCAGGGAGCAATTCATGATAGAGCACTAAATGTGATGGCTGTATTGTCTCTGGGCTTTTTGAGTGCTTGCCAAAATTTTACTCCTTGCAACACCCAGCTGTGGGAGGAACATGGCAGAGAGATGAGAAGGAAGCTGCAACTTCCAAGTGTTTCTGGCAGCAAAGAGTGGTGTAGAGGAGGTATCAGAGACAACAAAATCCTCACCTGCTTAGCTCAGCCACTCATGTTTGGGATGGCTGGAGGAGGAACTGAAGCAGAGTTCAGTTCTGCTGAGCTCTACTGAAAAGGAACTGAGGAGTCCTTTCCGGTGCTCCACTGTGAACTGCAATTTTGGAAGGAACAGCTAAGCCACTGTATATGTGACCAATTTTTATTCCACACTTACACAAACATCAGTTGTCTTTATTTCATGGCAGCTGTGCCTCTCAGTAGCATTGTCACTGCAATAAAATCTGTGTGGTTTAGGAAGAACACGGTGCTTCTCTAGTTCTCTTGGTCATTGCTAACATCAATTTTGCCCTTTCTTGTTCAGGGTCAAAGAACCAATGTGTACAGCTAAAGTAAGGCTCCTGGATGGAATAAAATTAGCCTTTCACTAAATCATGGATGTTCACCTCCCTTACTTTTGCTCTTCTTGAGCTCATTTATAAATCACGAGTGGCATGGACAAAGTGAACAGAGATTGATCATTCACTGTCCTCTTAACACAGTAATTCTAGGTCATCAGGGAAAAGAGAGGTAGAAGAGAGATCTGGGAGA